CATTCCCAGGCGAAACCCCAAGACGGAATCAAATATTTTCGATTCTTACGAGTTTTGATGGTCTTTCCACACGTGCTTACGCTCGTCTGCCGACAAGGACATATTTTTGTCGTAATAATGACTTATTTTTCATTGTATGAGAAATATTCGATGACAAAATTATCGATTTTCACTTGAAATCCACAGTTGTTTACACGGTTGATAAGTCTGCCATTTTGAACAGGAAGTATAATTTTTCTCTCAGTTCCCGATCCGGAAACACCAAACATCTTTGTTAATTCTTTTTTGTCTTTTTCCTACTTTTTGACATGCAGATTGGACGTAAAGGATCTTGCTAAAATTTAACACTTTATCGTTTTTATTACATAGTGTATACAGTGATAAAAGTTTGTTTTTTATATCATGAGTCAAGAGAACATTAAAACATTAAAATGGCTGGAAATTAGTCTAAAAATAAATAATAAACAAACCAACATAACTGCTCATAAAGTTTAATACGAGTCAGAGGAAACTGAGAATATTTATATAGATGATAATACATTTTCTGTTAACCTAATCTTATTAAGAACATATTTGCCGCCCTGATGGCTGAATCTCTAAACATGTTACACCATCCACTGCCGAATCAGGGAGGGGGTGATGTCCAGTCAACCAAAACCCGGATAAGAAATAACTTACACACACAAACGTACAGTCTCTATAAATTTAAACATCGTTTAATTTTTTTACACGTTTATTTTTTATGATGCATACTTTGAGTAAATTGACAAAGGTTTTTGTTTTGGTACCCTGCGTAGCCAAGTCAGCGGCCTTTTAAAATTTTGGAAAACCCCAACCCTACCCCAACACTTGTCCTAATCCGGCCCTGCCAACTATCTATGCCAATAAATCAGGCCTACACCGTGAAGATATTGAATGTAAATTTAGATGATGATGTCACCATAAAATCCTGTAATACAAAACTGCAATCTTGTCTGCACACATCGGTGAACATTTTATCCACTTTCCTGCATTTCTCGCTGCGGTGGAGCAACCATCGGTTGAAAGTTTTTTTTAAAAAAGTTTTTTTGGGGACACATGAAAATTATATTTCTGGAGTATATTCTCTGTTTGGGGACTCGAAAATCCATGTGGAATATGACGACCTTATTTCCTGTGGCCATTTTGAACTTCGCGCTTAATATGGCTGTTATCAAATACCAGTAAGTGTCTACAGATTACACCGGTATGTTTCTAAAAGATCTGCATGAAACATAATTGCACATTTTAATAACATCAGATAATACACATCGTCCATCAGTATCACTGCTGATTTAGCGGAGGATGATTTATCGGACTGCCATCTAACATGTAGAAATCGATGATAGTGAGTGCAATGAGCTAGAGATAGAACTCGTCTAAATGTCACGTTTGCCAAGCCACAAGTATAACGTCATGTATAAGTAAGCTATAATCTACTGTCTTGGGAATATTACCGCGGCTATGTGTTTGATGTCTAAAGGTGGCCGCGAGCTAGTGTTAAATTCTTACGCAACGTTACCTTGATTAGCCAGAGACCGGAAACTTGAGTTGGCATAGGCAACCGCTCGCATTATTTGACAGAAGCGAACAGATTGTGTTCTCATCCGTCCCCACGTCGGCAGAGAGCGGAGGGACATTCACTGCTATGTTTTATGGGATCGGTTCATAGCGATATTCAATCGAGATTGAGACATGATTACAATGTAGGCTGTATTATAACTTTTAGAAAGAAAGAAAATGTTAATTTTGCCTGGGAAGATTGCTGAGCAAAAGGGTTATTCTAAGAGAGCCACTTGGAATTTGGCGGTAAGACTTAGAGGTAGATTCCTAGGATAATTCGCCACGGTCGCTTTGACAAACAAAGACATTCCCATGGTGATAGGTGTCGCTTGATGAGAACAGCAAAGTAGGACTGTCAAAGCTAAGTGGTTTGATCATTTTCTGTGAAGTTAGCTTAAAATGAATCAAGTATGTTTCTTCATACTTTAAATCTTTTACATATCTTTAAAAGAAATCTTTACTTCTTCAAACAACGACGTTTTAAAAAGTATATACTGTTCATCCGAAAATAGTATTTTTCAACAGTCATACACTTCCTGAGATAACTTTCTAATTTTATTTCTTCATACCTACACCTATCTATCTCTACCTGTCAGACTGTGCACATGTTAATTATATAATGTTATGTTATCTAAATTTGCTTAGTGTACAGTTTGCTTTTGTTCTTTTTATTCTGTTTTCTAGTTCCTAATGAAATGCAAGTTTCGAAAATCGTGGACTTGCCTAGTAGTTAAATCTCTCTCTCTCTCTCTCTCTCTCTCTCTCTCTCTCTCTCTCTCTCTCTCTCTCTCTCTCTCTCTCTCTCTCTCTCTCTCTCTCTCTCTCTCTCTCTCTCTCTCTCTCTATATATATATATATATATATATATATATATATATATATATATATATACACGTGCTAATTAGTTATAAATATATTGCAAAGGTAAGCTCGACCTCAGATTTCCAAGGATAACAAATTATGTCCCGAATGTATCACCTAATTCCCTTATGAGTACATGGAGGCATAATTCAATAAATGAATAGTGTCTTAACCAAAAACCACCAGGTACTCGCTCCTCTCTCTCTCTCTCGCGTGTGGGCCAGATAGTGAAATCTAATCGCGGATCTAATTACAGCGAATATACCAGTAGCATATCAAAGAAAACAGAAACACGTGTTAGATATTTATCCCTAAATGCACTCCAGTCAGTTTTTTCTTCATCCCTTAGATGTGTACAAGATAAAGCACTCAGTAGCCATTATGCCAAATATACGCTCAGCAATTTTTCCTTTACTTTATTGCGCTTGTAATTGCATAGTAATTAACTTTGTCATGATAGAAAGAGTAACCGGAGGAGTCCCAATTATATACAGGTATTTTCTTCTCTCTCTCTCTCTCTCTCTCTCTCTCTCTCTCTCTCTCTCTCTCTCTCTCTCTCTCTCTCTCTCTCTCTCTCTCTCATATTTAACGTGCATATGCTGAAGTAAAAAAATAATAGCACCCTGAGAAAGATGGTGAGCTGTATCAATGTGGAGCAAAATTTACAAATTATGACATATACTTGTCGAATGAAAAAATAAAGTAATGCATGTGTGTAAGTTCGCATTATGTCAATGAAGTGAATCTTGATTGTATTGGCTTTTCACTTTCCTTAGCTGATGTAGTTGAAGTTTGAACTGCAATATATGTATAGAAACATGTACATACTATTTTGAACAGAACAATATTTAAACAATTTGATTGAAACACAAAGATACAGCTGTTCAGCCAGTATCTATAATAGAAACTGGCAGTAGTATCAGCCTACAGCAATCATAAATGTAACGAAATACCACATCAAAGAAACTTTCTTCATATATCGCTAAAAACTAAAATGGCATGTACCAAATACATGAATTTATTGCCCTTGTGTTGGTGTAATAAAACTTTATACTCTTCGGGAATTTGAAAGATTTTTCTACTTAAATATTATTTTAGTATCATTGTTTTACAGCGGCCCCAATGTCTGCGGTGATAGAGAGTATGGATATGTATGTTGTACTGGCTGGAAGATATCTATTTTGACGGGTCTTTGTGTCATTCGTAAGTATCCGTGCGATGATAATATCATAATCGTTTGAAAAAATTAAATGTAAAACGAACTAACTATACACCAGGGCAGTTCGTTCCATTAGGATCATGGGAGGCAGTGGGTTATCGTCAGTGGGCATGTATTGGTTTCAAGCTACGGTAAATAATACCCCCCCCCCCAAAAAAAACGAAAGTACTCGCTCCGAGTTGTATGGTTCAGGTGTTGGTACCATCATATGTAATTTTCGTATCCCATACACTGTCATTGTTTTTCTGAGGACACGGAGACGACTCCATTTCAAGGGTCACCATTCTTTACTGTAGGTAAATTCGAAAATAACATTACAACGTTGCTGCATTTTTTTAAAATAACGGTAAAATTTAAATTTAATATATTGTATTCAACCTCATTACCGCTATTGTATCATACTGCCTAGTGTAACTGGTATTTAGAGTGCAATATGACTGCAAATGACATAATCGAATGATTTCAAGAATCTGTTCTGTCAGGAACCACATCTGTGCAAATGCTCTTTTATGTGGCATGGTGTCCATTACAGCTCCATAGGAACCGTAAAGACTGGGTACAGCAATAGACATCATGTTTGCAAATTTCCACTAATTGTTTCTGGTTTCATCGAAACATATAGCTGATATAATGATACACTAATTTCAGAAGCATATATACATCCTTATTTTTGAAGATCAAATTGATTAAATGTATGAACATTAGTAAATTCCCATACGTAGAGCATACTAATTTTAAGAATTCGAAATTTTCGGCAATATCACACTGCCTCCATCAGCAACTAATGTTATGGAGAGCAAGGAAGCAATAGGTTGATTCAGTTTAATTCTATCGTCATCTGCATCAAATGAAAGTGTTTCATATGCTGACGCTTTGCCATCAATTTTACCTTTTGTCGTGCTTTTTTATGTAGCTGATGTCGACGAAACAAAGGTAATCATCTGTGATGGTTCTCTCTGCCAACAGAAATGTGTTGTCGCCAATGATTACCCAATCTGCACATGCATGACTGGATTCTATCTTCGTCCGGACGGTGTCACATGTGGAGGTATCCATTACCATCGAAGTATAAATCTTAAGACGTGTGTGTATGTGTGTGTATGTGTGATTTAGATTTTTAACGTAGCTTTAAAAAAAAATTCAATCATATCGCTACGATATCTGGATTGTAACAGTTTATAATGATGTTTAGTTTTGGAGCATCATGCCGCAGATATGTGGCATGATGTTCCACCCAGTCATATTATTCTGACAACAGGCCGATCAGTCCTAACACTACTTTCTTAATGTTAAGTGCCAAACGAGGCGGCTGTTAGTTCCACTTTTAAAGTCTTTGGTATGACTCGGGTGGGGTTCGAACCCACGACCTCACGCATCCGAAGCGGATGCTCCTACCAATAGGCCACTAGAGCTGTAAGATACAATGGTGTGACTATTGGCAGTAGCCATAATGTTATATTTTACTTGTTTTGCTTGATAAAATTTAAAGTGGTTGCCCATATCAGAGAGCAAATTCCAATCAATTTCAAAAATGCATGCACATTATAATCTCTCTCTCTCTCTCTCTCTCTCTCTCTCACACACACACACACACACGTCACGTATGTTCTGTACTGTGATGAGAATTGAACTGAATTGCAACAGTCATATATCAGATTGTATAATAACTTACTCATCCTTTCAGACATCGACGAGTGCCAACGTTATCCTTTCCTGTGTGAACAGACCTGTAGAAACACCATTGGAAGCTATATGTGCACATGTCACTCTAATTTCACGCTTAGCAACAACGGTAGAACATGTCGTCGTCTTTATGACTACAGTAAGTCAGTATTACCAGAGGTAGCATCTGCTTGGTGAATTTGGAAAATTGAGTTTTGTCAGTGACCAGAATGTCCTAAAAACAAGTATTCTTACACATTCCAAGTATGGTTACAAGTTCTTGGGAAATCGTTGGTTAATTCAGCAATTTGAGGATACAACAAAATATTCATTTCATGAACTACTTTGTCAATGACCAGAACGGTCGATATTGTCAGTGACCAGAGTGGTCGATATACCAACGATATTTGTTCTCAACTATGCATATACCAAGTAAATTAATGCTTACAAGTTCTTGGGAAATCGTCGGTGAAATCAGTCATTGCTTCATACGACAAATATTCAATTAATGAACTACTGTACGCGTTTTTCTCAAAGCAAACTTGGGTTGTATTAAGTATTAAGAATATCCATATAATTGATTGTTGGCCATGATGAATAAGGGCTGGCGTTTGCAATTTGGTTTCTCTGCATTTACGAATGGACCCAAGTGCACACTTTAATCCAAATATGGTTTCGCTGCATTGCATCTTATTTAAGAATTGTAGAATTCTCCATATTTAGCATTCTTCATTAACAGCATTTGCAGATTTAGAGTTAGCTTTATATAAACACATGGGCTGCTGAATTTTGTTTAGAAAAAAAAAGAAGAGATGAACGCTCATTCAAGTTGAGAGATTTAAAACTATAAGACCAAGTCTAGATTGCACTATAATAGCTTAACTATGTATTTTAAACTTAGGTCCAGAATCCAGCGATCGGACTTCATTAAATATTATAGTTTAATCATTTACCTATTAAATGTATTAGATCTAGACATAGCGTTAGAATATATATATATATATATATATATATATATATATATATATATATATATATATATATATATATATATATATATATATATATATATATATATATGCATTGGACACAGGTCTCTCGTGACATTAAACAAATACTGTACCATTCATCTTCATTATTTTAATAATCATGCACTCATGTTCTGATTGAGACTCATCCAATTAATAGCAAAACAAGTTACAAACGACAAGTTAAACCATGGACTTTTTCAGGCATTTTAGTTTTTGACCTGTGTAGTATATTTCAAATACATTTTTTCCGTAATTGTGTCATTACAGGCAAGAGTCCATGTATAAATGGAAACATTACCAATGGAACATGCAATGAAAATAGCCATCCTGCCCCTGATACAGAACAAACTAATGAAAAGCGATACGTCAAAGACCATAATCTTTTTGATAATCAACAATTATTAGGAGCCTTTGCTTTCAAGAAAGGAATAACGCGTAACGTGGTAGTTGACGTTTCTTGTGGAGATAGAGTGCAATGTGTGTCTGAAGTTTCTCCGGGTCGGTGCATTGAAAACCAGTGTGACAATACCAGAGATATTCCCATTAGGGAAATTCATAAGGGAGATTGCTCAAGCGGCGATTGCCTCGGATCCCTTTCTGGCGACTTTGCTCCTTTACAAGAACTTCCTCATCAAGCTTCAATATGTCCTAACAAAGGGCTTTGTGTTATTCCTCACGAGACATCCAAAAATCCAATTAATTGCAAAGGTTCAAATTGCCTTCCTTTGTTTGATTTAAACCTCTTACATTCATCTCCTCTCAAAGACCAGCCACCGCGTGAGAAAGTCACTAAGAGTGACAGCTATGAGAAAAAAGGTCGAGGAGGAAAGACATTTGCCTCTAATGACATTATTTGTCGGGGTGATCTTTGCAACGATCCGGTGCGCAGAAAGCAACTGATAGCCACACAGGTTCCTGACAAGGCCCACCCTATAACATCTTTGAAAATTCCTTCGAAGACTTCTTGGACAACTCATCAAACAACTCGTACGGAAACCCCTTTGAAAATTCCTGTGAAAACTTCTTTCCAAACTTCTCTGAAAACATCATCAAATATACATGTGAAAACTCCCTCAAAAAAGTCTTCGTTTTGCCCGATAGGATATAGGCCTGTTACTCGGGGCGAGTTTGACTTCTGTGAACCACTTCCAGGGTTGGATTTGAAGAGGGGCGCCTTGAGTAAGAAAGAATCTCAAGTAAAATGTGAAGGTAAGTCATATACTACACAAGTATATACGTGCTTCGGGCATTAAAGCGCATTTACCTCCAAAGGCACTTCTAAACTGATATAATGAATGAGTTGCTCCTGGCCAATTACAATAATGAAAACCAACACGATTGTCTCAGTTCTGTCTGGTAAGTTACTGGAAATCCTAGTGTTGCGAACTAAAATGCAATTTACCACACTCATTAACGTGGTAGTTTTAAATCGAAGCCTACTTTTGAAACTAGGTCTTATCCTTTAAATATGCACTCTTGGGTGCGTTCTTTTCGATTTGACCTAAAAGTATGTTCTAACAGATTTCATGATCCAAATTATGTTCCTATTTACACGCGAAATAGCTTGCACGAAAAAGACAAGTGGTAAATTTGCACAGTTTATTTTGTTTTTAAACTCTTATTGTTTAACTACTAGATAGAAACTGATATTTATATAAACATTATTTATCTAAATGATTTAATTTATCTATCTACTTACAGTGTACTCGTGTCCAGAGACGCTTACTTATCCACCATGTTTTCATAACCAAGTTTTAAGTCCAGGTTGTTATACTTTGGTCGGAACAATGACTAACAAGTCGATAAACATCCAAATTTCCATCAAAGTGACACATGTTCACGAAACACAGCACAGCTCATATGATTCTTCTAGTTTTTAAAATTTGGGTCCATAACAGAAAATTAGATAAAAGAGGTTTGAAATCGTTTCAGGTTGTTTATAATGACTATAGAGATCACGTACTCTACGCCATGATTTTCCAACCTCCTAGTCAGTTATGGTGGGTTGCTTACATAGGCACTTGCTATTCTTATCAATTTTACCGGTTAATTTATACGCTGATATGCTTGCGTGATAACCAACGTATTGAAATTACCTTGCTTTACTTATATGCTAATTCGTCTTTCCAACGAGTATGGAATCCTTCCGAGTATTATTGTCTTCTCTTTTAACTAGTGAAAAATAGGGCCAGCATTGCGACCTCATGAAATACTCTCGTCACTTCTTTTGAATCGAAGGTCGACAGGGGTTTTATCTAAAAGACTACTTCTAACAGGTAGACAGTCTAAAATGGCCACGAAAGGGACCATCTTGAAAATGTTTGTATCATTACTTTTGCTGAAATGATGATCAAATAGACATTTAGTTTTCTCTAATAGACGTTTTATAGAATATGGAAAGTCTTAAATGAAAATGGTGCTGATCAGATCCATCATGACCCCCATAGTGGTCATGTTAATACTTCTCTCGCATGAATGAAAAAGGTATAACATTGACCTTCAAAATATGGCTGCTACAGTAGTTATCAAGAAAATCTTGTTATGATTGCGTCTCTTTAGCGCATGGTTGTATCGATATGGGAGTTCTCTGAAACACTTTTTGTGCTATGATGTCTTGTATTAATTAAGTATATCTAACGTCAAAATGGTTGCCTTCACGGGAATTTTAAAAAAATTATTAATATGGCTTTTATTCCTGAACGGACGGGCGTGTGTGAAACTGGCTTTCCACTGAAACACGTAACAGTTTTTAACAAGTCTTCAGTGAAATTGGCGCTGATCTGACTTCCATCATTGCAGATACAGTAGCCATATATAAACTCCTAAGATGACCAATCCTTTTAAAAGAATGGTGGCACTCATATGATGTTTTCACTTAAATAACTCTAGGAATGTGTAATTGTTCCTGAATAAAACTGGGCAAGTTCTTACCAACAATGTGACCGTTCAATTGTGAACAAGCTCATAAACCGAGATCTAACTGGCCTTAGGGTCAAGTCATACGTCACTGCTTTTGTTCATGAATTCATACATATTCGTTTTAAGCAGTAACGCACCTGTCTCTTTGAAAGACTCAATAACTGTATTTTGTTGATTGTTTTTTATATTTTATTTTTGTAAATAATGACCTAAAACATAATATTATGCACTGGATGACTAAACAGATGGTGGCTCAGACACACAGGATGTTTTAAATGGCGATCCACGCAGAACGTATATGAACAATTGTTTTTTAGAATGTGCTGATGACTGGTGGATTTTATTTTACAAACTCTCGAACTGATTCAGGGCTTTTTATCCTTCGTAACGCAAACTATCTATCCAGATTGTCAAAAAATATTTTATAGCTGTGTAGGGCACATAGGGAACGTGTATATAAAAAGAAATGCGTTGTTTAGAGAAACTAATATCAACATATATCGTGACTTACTAAAATTGCATCTGATCGAGATTTAAAGTAAAACTGGCATGACAACCTCGATTTATGTTTCGATAAAGCATGGCAATCTATTTTTTTGTGTAAAATAACATCAAGTGGTTATCATAATGACAAGCGAAATAAATCAACTGTTTGTTGTTAAATAATTCATACCACCTTTGTAAAAATGCTAAGACAGGAAGTTCGAACACACGATTCAATAGTTTAAACAAATTGCTGACAATGTTCACAACAACAAATATCGACACCAACCACTTAAAATCGTAAATCTAGTCCAATAG